TATTGTCAATCACTGAAGCCATACAAATATAATTATGGTCAAGATTATATTTGTAGACATCTTGAATTGGATGTTTGACCCTTTCAGTGATGTCATTTCTGATTTCTTGAAAGGCATTTTGACTAGTCAAAATTACTTTTAAGATACCTTGAATTGTTCTTAAATCATGCATATATCTTGAATTACCATTCAGGATTGTTAAAATGTAGTTTTTCCAAGTCAAAACATATTTTAGATATATAGAATATAATTACAGAAGCTAATTTTATGTTAAAATGGCCTGCCATATACTGTAGTCATAAATCAGCTTTAAGACTAACTCTTCAGATTTAGTCCTTAGTCCTTTTTTTATTTTATTTTATTTTTATTTTGCTGTTGTTTAACCAGGCAAATCCCAGTGAGATCACAGATCTCTTTTTTAAGGGAGGCCTTGGCCTGAAGGTAACCTATCGTATTAATTTAAAGTGAAACTGAGATGCTTGATAATTGAATTTTAAGCCAAGCTTTGAGCCAAGAATTTTTTTATTCTTAACTGGATTCTAGTTTTTCTGAGAAGTTGGATAAGTACAAGGCCCAGGTCTGATGTTTTTCTCCAGGAAATTTTCAACAGACATTAAACAAAAAGTCTGAAAGTTTTATTTGAACATTACTTTCAAAGTCCTGTGAACAACACCTCACACATACAACACTAGAACAGTGGCTCCCAACCTTTTTAGACTTGTGTACCCCCCGAGCCATTTTTTAATACCACTATACACCCCTCTGTCAAATGTAATGATGATTCTCTGAAACTATAATGTACAACAGCTGATTATTAAATGAAAACTAGTTATTTAACCCCCTACAACATTTAGTTATCAGGCATTTTATTATTTTCGACTCAAATCAAACAAAAAGATAAATATGTTGCCTTGAAAGTGAATAAGTAATTAAATAAATAAACCAGGTAGTTRCATTGTCCAAAATACATCCAATTCCCAAAATGAGCAAATTCCACAAGATTTCACATTTTATACATGATTGCATTTTGTGTCAATTTCGTGATTCCGTTTCTATTTTCCGCATTGTGGAAATCATAAGGCCCTGCATAACTCAGTCCTATTTTTATATTAAAAAAATTTTTTACACACCTGAGAAATTTTTCCAYGTACCCCCTGTAATATGCTCGCGTACCCCTAGGGGTACACATACCCCTGGTTGGTAATCACTGCACAAGAAGACAGTTTTCAGCATGCCACAAATTCCATCCAAGTGTTTTGCAAAGGCAAGAATCCTGCTAATGTTCCTGAACAAAATAAAAACTCCAGAGTCATCACTTTTGTAACTAAGGCCACATATTGTAAATTTTATTAAAGCTTTTTTTCTTTATTAAGAAACATGTCACAATGAAGTAACTACTAACTGGTGCGATCTTCAGGACTGCCACACTAACGACATCTCAAAATACAGAGAGAGAAAAAAGTGAAACTTCATCCGTCCATTCATTACCCGCTTCTTCTTTTAAGGGTCACAGGGGGAAAAATGAAACTTAAAAAAAATCTTTGATGTTGATATGCTTTCAGCACATGATCACAATTTGACAGCAACAGGATCAGGATAGTGAAGCAGTCCTAAAATACTGTAAATAATCAGAAGCTAGAAAATAGCCCTACTTTTGTTTTGAATTTAGGACAAAAAAAATGATAGGTGGCCCAAATAGACTTCTTCTATATTCTCACACATTTGAAAAAGTTTAAAAACACTTCTATTTACACAAACCTTTATTTTGTATTGATTGCATAGTTAATATCAACACTTTTATTATTCTCCTCTTGCTGGTTTTTCATTATCTATGCATGTTTTTCATGAATTATTTTTGTGTGTATGTGTAGTTGTCAAACTGTATTTTTCTCCTTGTTGTAAAGCACGTTGTGTTGATGTGCATGAAAGTTTGATTTTATCTGACAGAGTAAACGGAGCTGCAGAGAGCAAAATAGATGGCAGTCATTTTATTTTTTAAAACTGATAWTTCTGCTGCATTTGAACTTATTGTCCACATGCAAATGGAGTTTTTGATTAAAAAATGTTTTAAAAYTCACTCCAAAATGGAAATTTCAAAAAGGTGTTTTATCTCTGTGCATGCACACTCTAGAACCAAAGCAACAATGAAACAGTTTTTACCATTTTTTCTACATCTGTCTTGCTGTTCCTCTCACCACTAACCTTTCTTTGTGGGCCGAAAATATTTATATATGAAACGGAAATTGTCACAGTGAAATGTGCGTTTTTGGGGAATGTTTGAAATAAGAATATCCTTTCTTTGTACCTAAATATATCATTAATTTATGAGTAGAGATCGACCGATTCCATTTTGTAAATGTTAATGAATCTTCTGCTTACACCAGAGTTAGTCATGGAGTTCCTCAGGGTTCAGTGCTTGGACCAGTCCTCTTTACTTTTTATTTGCTTCCATTAGGTAAAGTTTACTATGTTTTATTAAACAGTATGGGATAAATTTGCATTGTTATGCTGATGACTCTCAGTTATATTTATCAATGAAACCTGATGCATCTGATCAGTTAATTGAACTACAAGCATGTCTCAAAGATGTAAAAACCTGGTTGACTTTTACTTTTTTGCTTCTAAACTCAGATAAGACAGAGGTTATGGTTTTTGGACCTGAACATCTTAGGGATCAACTTTGCAGC